AAGCAGATTCCTCGAAGTTTTATGAAGCGTCGAAGAATTCATGTGGTGAAGACTATGAATGAATACCAGCTGAATGGAAAGCGGCCATATCTTCTGTTGTTATGTTCAGCATGATAATATCTGAGGTCTCGTGAAGTGTTATACAGCTGGTCTAGACTGCTTCCAGGGACATCATTTAAGAAGTGTTCTGCGTGTCATAATCAGGTAACTTTTGACGGTCAGCTGTATGGGCGAACAGAAAGAAAAAATTGGACTTGGTACTCTCCTTGGTTTGAAAAAGATAGCCCAAAAAGAAAATGACGTTGTGTTCAGACCTACTATGGAAATCAGCAGTGACAGCTGACACAATGAAAAACTAAAACACCAGGCAGAGCATGGCTTACAGTGAACTTGCTCTAAACTGGAAATTTGCTCTTTGTTGCATCACTAAACAATATTTAATATCGAGATACCGGTGTAAATGATCGAATCAGGCATTACAGATAGGAGCTGTTCTGCATTTATTGTTTTTTGGGCCCTAAATCACAGTTTTTAATTTCATGCTCAAAGTCAGTCAGTCAGTTTCGATTACCACTAACCCTTTCGGATATCGGAGGAAGAGCTGTTAGACAGTGCCTGGAACGTTCTTGATCTTGTTTCTGCGTTTGAGTTTCAGCAGAAGTTAACCTTAGTCTGCAACAGCAGAGTATACTGAGACACTTGCCCCAGGACGTTACTGGCCAAGCAGGGGTCTTTGGCCTGTCGAGCAAGTGTAGTAGTTGTTTCTCTTTCCTTCTAGAGGTGTTTGCAAGACCGGCCAAAGTCAACATCGCAGCTGTGATTTCTCAATCTGAAGAAGCGGCAACTGGGCCTCAAAGCTCTCTGATATTTGTACTCCAGACCATGACGAGACGCGTGAGTTCAACGATTCTTCTCACAAAGCCCATGTAAGTCGCTTATGTCCGTGATCGAAGTTTTGTCATTCACGACCGTACGTGAGCATTAGGATGCAAATCGACTAAAACTCAGAGAGCTTAGTGTTTAGACTCAGTTCTCTGTTTGTCATGTCGGGCCTGGCTACTTCATGCAAGTCACCGCTGGCCATTTCAGTTCGAATGGTTGAACTCAGCCACAGCTTTTTCATCACCAGTAAATACGACCTCGAGATAGGTGAACTTTTCCATCTTTTCCAGCGCTTCTCCATTTATGTGCATAGCGCGATGGGCAGGAGATAAGAAAGCACCAAGTTTTTCGCTTCAAACACGGTCGCCCGTGTGCCGGTTACGTTGCACTCAGCTGTTAACATATCCAGAGAGCACTGAAGGTGAGTTGCACAAGATACCAACAAACAAGGTTGTCTGTAAAGAGCGTCTTTCTCGTCCCTATATCTCCTGCGCTGATGCACCTCTCGCCATGGCTGATCCTCACTGTCCTATCAGTGTACAACACCAGCAAGAGAGGGGACAGAATACAACCTTGGCGGAGACCGGTGCCAACGCTGAAAATTTTTGACTGAATGCCATTTACTTTGCCGCAGCACCTGCTTACAACACGAAGATTAGAATCCTCATAGCAACTGCCCGTCGATCTAGTTCATCTGCAGACACGCCCGTAGCTTCTTGCGCGGGACCCGGTTATGAGCTTTCTCCAGGTTCACAAAGCAGATGTTAACCGGAAACTCTAACGATTTCGCAACAGCCCGACATAATGTTAACATCTTTATGTACAGACATTAAAACCAAATTCTTTTTTACGTAAATAATATGTATTGTTCTGTGTGCTGTGCTTACCGCGTGGCAAACATTTAAGATTTTACTGTCTTATCGTCCCTCAGAGTGAATAGTTTCGTCGTTTCAGGCCAAAAGAATCAGAATCTGGAAACACGATGGCAAGTTCGAATTTCTTGCATTATATTTGTTGGTGTTTGTTTTTCATGCATTTTTGAATATTCTGTTAAATGTCGCATTCTTTGTTGTGTTATAAGTTTATCTGATTTCTGGTTGAAACCTTAACAATATTTCCATAAACAAATCGGGATGTGGATAGACATAGCTGCTTTAAGTTAGTCTTATGGTCATAACGGAATACAGTATGCTTTCTTCGATTTATGGTCATTCATTACTTTATATCCGCTGCTAAGTTTAATATCTGAGGGTTAGCTGGATTATTTTTGATAAGCGTTTTGAAAGACCTATATTATGAACAAAAGGGAAGAGAAGAAACAAACAAGATATTAAAAAAACTCAGCAAAAGATTGGCGGTACAAGGAAATAGACCATCGATAGAACTGAAGAAAGTGAAGAACTAAGGCTGAAATAAATGAGTTGAATGAGGGAGAAAAAGTATGAAATCGAAAAGTAATAAATAAGGCTAAAATTAATTTGTTAAATTGTTGAATTAAGGATGGAAGGAGGAATTTTTTGAATAAAGGAAACAGCAAAGATGAGAAATGTTGAAAGATAGATGTTATGAAGGAAGGAAAAATTGAAGACAGACGACTGGGTTAAAAGATTTGATGGAGAACGAAGAAATTCAGATGAACAGGAAGGAGCTGGTTTTGCTTCCAGAAAGGATGGCAGAATAGTTACTACGTGCTTGACCAACTGATCCAAAGCCCTAAGGAAAGCAGTGAATGACTTGGGAAAAGTGGCTACACGGACTTTCGTCTGCTGAGGAGCTGGCGCAGGAATAGGTACGTTGAAGTCACTACCTGACGCTGCCGCCTTCAGGATCTGAAAGGATAGGCAATCATAGAACCTGATTGATTACGGGTAGGTTAATGATTTGCTGATAAGAACAAATTGAAAAATATAGGGAAACACATAAGGACAGAGGTAAGAGAAAAAGGTTTTACACAAGGAATAACCTATAGTAACATCCCCCTGTCACATTTCGAGATTTAGACGGCGTTGTCACAGTGTCTACTGTTTTATTCTCTTCATTAAATATTGCCCCTCTGTGAACGTAGATCTTGGTCTGTTAAGAAGGATTTCAATCCACCCTGAGCCAGGTTCAACTTTACTCTGATTATATCAGGACTGTTGAGTCAGAGTCCGTGTGGCATATCACTGCTTCTTTCCGTTTGAATCGGCGTTCGATGTAAAGAGGCAAAATAACGATTTAATGTTCTGTTCATTTCTTAGCTATTCAGGAAAGTGCTTCGTTACCTGTTTGTTGAAAATGAACAGGTCTTGTAATAAATTCAGTTTTTTTCTTAAATGACAAAGAGCATGCCAGGTATATTACTTATCGGTAGTCGGCTAAGTAACCCTTGGTCAGCGAATATCGTCGCTTGATGCTGGTCTTTTATAGAATTTTCTCACCTGTAAGAGTATGATCATGTTTAAAGTGTGGGCTTCTCTCAGTCTTAGCAGTCTTCGCTCTTTAGACTAAGGAAATCTTACATAAGGCCAAAAAACCACATTTAGAGACGGTCTACGTGCATCAAGTAGTAATGCAGATAACTCAACTGGATACCATACATTTTGAGGGATCGAATTTCAATGCAAAGTAGAAATTTTTGTGGTCTGTTTAATCAGAATTTTGCTGATTGTCATCAATTCGTTATCTGTCATGTTGTGTTACGCAGATGTATGTTGTGAAGTGTTTCATAATTGCTTAGCATGATGTAACCACGACAGGGCGGTAAGGGCAGTTTTCAGTTTTCAAGAGTGTCGCGTCTTTTCATTATGCTTCGCAATACCGTGTTGAATTGGAAGAGTCCGTTGCAGAATCCACCTGATGAAAGAATAGTAGATGCTGACACGTCCACGGATGAGACAACGACGAAGGCAGCCACCGCAGATTCAGCTACGTCGTCTCCACCACAGGAAAACGCTGAGGATACAGAGGGCATGTGGGAGGAATCGTACGGCGGTCACACGGACTCCAAGAAATACGGTAATGTTCATTGTTAGCACTGTATGCATATAATGACGACTAAACATTGGGCTTTAGGGCCTGAATCGGTTGCTCTTGACATCAACTTCATTGGCTTCACGAATATCTACGGCATACCGGAGCATGCTGACAATTTCGTGCTGAAAGATACGAGGTGAGGAGCATGAGATGTTGATGCTCTTTTGGTTCGCACGTTGCGTCCTTTACTCCGTACTACTCTTTCCTAGCTCTTCTGATCCATACCGACTGTACAATTTGGATGTGTTCGAATACGAAGTATACAACGAGATGGCACTGTACGGTTCTGTACCATATATCATGGCTCACAAGTGAGTATCGAGCAGTGTGTTTCGTTGTCCATAGTAAGGAAATGGCTGTATTGGAGTCTGTGACTGCTGCCGATCATCCGTACGATGAAATGTGTTGCACGACCGTGAGTATCATATGTATCATATGACTAACTGAATGAAAAGTGCCTTCAGATATGGTAAAGATGGACATCGGTATTATAGCATCAAGTATCATAATGATGGTTGGCGATGCTGCCTCTAAGAGCAACTTAGCAGGTTGCATAATCGGACTCACAGGCGAGTGAGCACCTTCACTTTGCCGCTAGTTTTCTGGGGATCATTTAAGTGGGCAACAGCTCCTGCAGTTCTGCATTCATACCATGTAGGTATTCATATACCACGAATCCTTACATGCAAAAGTGACCTTCTAGGTCGCTGACAGCCAAGGGATTGTGCAAAACTCTTATGAAAACCCGTTTAAGCGACATGAGAATATCTCTTTATGTTTTCCAGTATCAAGCGAGATAGTTGCCTATAACCGACTGTCAGGTTTTGTAGCCATCTGACTATAGAACAAAGCTTCTATTAAACCGCGCTAAAATTTTCTATTCTATTTTCAGCGAAAACAAAACGGTTAGTGTTCTGTGGCTGAACGCTGCGGAAGCGTGGATCGACGTGAGAAGAGGCACGGTGGACAAGGTGAAAGATTCTATAATTCAGAAAAACCTTGTTTAAGATTATTTCTGATGAGTAGATATGGTCAGCATCTAATTGTATATGCGCATAAAGTAGTATAGTAATATTTTTGAAATTATTACTTAAAAATTGTGTGAATTATTCTTTCTAATTATAGGTAACAACTTTCATGGCTTCACATTTATTTGTAATGGCACCTAAAATATTTTGTCAATCAAAATATTATCTCCGATCATTATGAATAAATAGAAATGGAGGGCTTTTGGGAAGAATCGCTGGGATCACACGTCTCGACATAATCCGAAAGAGCCTTGGTGTAAAGCTGCGGCTGATGCCGATGCGAAGTCACAGCTGCAATGATTCGGACACGTATTGCAAAAGCTTTCGGAAAGGAAAGCGAAACAGTTACTATTTGCCCAACCGGCGGGCTGAAGATCCTGGAGTTTCCCATGAATATCCTGGGGCAAGCGTTTCAACCGACTCTGCTCCATATTTGGGTTATTTTCTTCCGAAGTTCAAACTCTCACTCAGGTTAGGGAACGTTTGAGGCATTTTCTGACTTGTCTATCTTTATTTACTCAGAAGGATTAGCAGTTCTAGCTAAGTATCATGAGCACCCGTTGAAAGTTATTTTTTTCACCCATAAGCAAGAGTTTTAGAATACTGTTTCTCATAATAGTTTTTACTGGATCTAGGAAAGTTCACCGACCGAAAAATTCACCGACCGGAAAATTCATCTACTAGCAATTCGTCGAACGGAAAATTCACTGACTCCACAATTGATCGCCGATGATTTATTTATTAAAAACCATGAAACGTAAAAAACTTAATTTTTTCGTATCATAAAGTATTGCTAATATTTCTATAAAATTGAAATCTGCTGATTTTGAATTAGTTTGCCTGAAAATGATAATGATGTATGTCCCTGTAAATTTCGAATAAAACGGATTTTGCGGGAATGATTTAATTGAAATAAACTTCTAAAGCATTATTTACACGCAATACCTAATTAGTAATTTATATTATGTGCCACTCCTCTCAAAAACTCTAAAACATTACTTCTGTCATAATTCGCAATTACTCTGAAAGGTCTCAGCAGATAATTACATTTCAAATCCACGATGCTACCCTTCAGTTCCATTACTTGTGTTCGGAAGACGGTGTCTTACTCCTTCGTGACGGTTGCACATTTCCATGGAGAAGCGGGGCATTCGGTGTCCCATGCGTCGTTGAGGACGTTCAGTCAAGCAGTTCTCAAAGTAATCGATCACGCCTTGTGCTTCTTCAGACATGGTTTTACCGCTACCGCTAAGAATCTAAAATGCTTCTACCACATCTGTTTGGAAAAGACCAACGCACATAACAGTCGTATTCTTATAGCAAATTTGACATCAGTTTCGAACCTTCTTTGAAGATTTTCTGCCTGAATCCTTGGAATATACACTGCGAGAAACGCAAGAAACATTTCCTGTGTAGCTCTTGGAAATTCTTGACGAATAGCACTGACTGCGGCAGGTTCGAATTCGGCCACAACTGTTTCTGGGAACGCGTCAGGTTGAACCTGTTTTACTTGTTGCAATAACCCCTACCCAAAATCCCTATATAATAATGAAGCATGGTAATTATTGTGCTCATTAACTAATCTTTCAAATATGCCATTTAAAAATAAATGCATTAGATAAAATTGATTTTTCTGTGAGTAGGTAATGTTATGTAATTATTCTGCTCATTAACATAATCTTTCAAATATGTTATTTCTAAATAATACTGTTTTATGATCATCATAAATAAATTATCAGCGATCAATTGTAAAATCGGTGAATTTTCCGTTCGACGAATTGCTGGTCGGTGAATTTTCCACTCGGTGAACTTTTCGTCGGTGAACCTTTCGGATACCGTTTTTACTTAAGGTGATGGGCTAGGAATGACAGAATGCAAATTAAAGCTGAAACTTCTAGTTTTCGAATTGTCATTGGCCTTATCTTAGTTTCTTAAATTTATACGTAGATTAAATTATTTTTCCTTTGTTGTTAAAGATACTTTTAATATTATAACTACGTTCATGATCCTGACATCACGGCTCTCGTATAATTTAAGTGAATGTATTCAGATTTATAGTTTTTGTTCACGCAGTGATATTGAATGACACAAAAGAAAAAGGTTAAGTACAACCCAAAAGAGTCAGTCCGTTGGCGATGGATCGCTACCGATATAACTTCTTACCCAGCGGAAAAACTCCTTTTCATTGTGTATAAATTAGCAGTTTTGGACTGTTTAATCGAAGGGTATTATTTGAGCTATCGCAATGCTATGAATCAGTTTTGCTGCATTTTTCGTCATGCAACGTGGCCATGCCATCAACCATTCGCTGAGACGTTAAAATTTTCTGACCATCACTGCGTGATGCGTACTGATAATCGCTGTCCCATGTTATGAGTGCAGGTTTTCACTGCATGTATGCTTGATCAGAAGCCTTAGAGTTCTCTGTATTGGTACGTCTCATTTAAGTTTTATGAACACCCGAAAATTTGGAAAAATGTCTGGCGTTGACAGCTGGAAGACTGTTGCACATGAGGAAGCATCTCTGATAAGCATCACTCATTTTTATGACATAGCTCATCATTTCATTTGTATAACGATTTTGACAGTGTAAGGGGGGGCAATGCAGCTTTACGATATTGACGTTTGAAGGTATGGGAATGGAATCTGCTTTATACGTGGCACAACAAAGTTGGTGTGGTGTTTTGTTGTTCACATCGTTGAATAAAGGTGGTGCGAGAGTGATTTGTTTTCATGTTCATATATGGATAAATCATCGAACCGTCGCTGAGGTAATGAACCATAGACACAGCAGATTGGATTAGTTGGTTACTACATTCAGCACAAGTATTCGCTGTTTCTGTAATGTTTGTTTTTCTGAACACAAACGTTGTATTTTGTAGCAAGCTCTGTTTCTGCTACTGATTTGTTGCACGTATTTCATCATTTGAAGAATGTTTTATATGCTCTTTTTTAGAACATCCTGCAGAACTTGTGGCATTACATCACAGCTTCGCCGGAAATTCCGGAAATAACAACACATTGGATGTTTGAATGCGGAATCATCGACCTGTTCGTTCTCTTTGGTCCAACGCCTTCTGATGTTTTCCATCAGTATTCCAGTCTGACGGGTGTGATGCCTTTACCACCGGTACTTCAATCGTTATGAACATGTAATAGTTACATTCGTCCGTTACAGCTCTTTTCTATTGCCTACCATCAGTGTCGGTGGAACTACAACGACATGGACGACGTCTCAAAGGTCGACGCCGGTTTCGACGAGCATGATATACCTTATGACGTTCTTTGGTTGGACATCGAACACACGGATGGCAAAAAGTAAATGCCATTAATTTCCGTGATTGTGAGGATTGGCGAAGCAATTTCTCAGATCTTAATGGCATTTAGACCTTTCGGACAATGGCTATTAATTTTATCGTTCTTAAATGGGAATGTCATGCTTCTTTTTCCTTTAAGCAACGGACTTATTCTTAATTCGAGATGAATACATCATTCAGCCATATACACAGAGGTCTGTATTTCCGCATCTGGTTGTAGATCTGAATGATGGTCGTTATTACGGGCAACATGTTTATCAGGCTGTACTTTTTGTTCTTCTTCTTCTCGTAGTACAAGTCAGGCAAAAATATCACCACGATTGTTTTACTTGTTGTCATGCAAAGCGTCTAGGTATTTCACATGGGATCCGGTCAAATTTTCCGAGCCGCTGAAAATGATTTCGGCATTATCTGCTAAAGGGCGAAAGATGGTGGTCGTCAGTGATCCCCATATCAAAAAAGACGAAAACTGGAATGTAAGTCTGAAAGCAATATCAGCAACACCATAGAGGATGTCTTTCACTGTTCTCTTTAGCTGTACCTCGAGGCACTCCAGAAGGGTTATTACGTCAACGCGTCAGATGGAAAGGTATTCGATGGCTGGTGCTGGCCAGGTAAATGTTAGTGTGTTACTTGCAGTGTGCATGTGCACTGTTTATCAGTTGAGCGTCAAATTCAGAAACGAGAGGTTTCGGATTCAGACCACTCACCTTTCTTGCTTTCGCGGTAGATGAATGGACCCCAGTCTGTGGGAGAAAATAGATTTTATGGTACAGTCGTCACCAAGCTGTTTACATCGCCTTATAAAAGGGTAACCCAGGAGCACTCTGGTTGATGATTGACGGCAGGGAAACCGACGTTAGCGTTCATTAGAAGTTTTCATAAAAAGTAGTTGTCATTTTTTCCCAGTCATAAAACTGTGAAGTACACTGATATTTCAACGATTTCTTTCCAAATTTTCAATCTGATTCTTCATTTGAATATCTAAATACTGTGTAGCGTAATGTATAGTTGTGACGTCATAATATACCAGTGTGATCTTAAGCGTCGTTTTATCTACCACCTGAACAAATAAAGATTATGCTGAAATAAATATGATGACAATTATAACATGATGTTTGATGAAAATGACGACTATGTTTTACAAGTTTTTTTATGAGTAGCCGCTACCAGTGTGTTCGCGGTTAAACTTATACTGATGTTTTTCGTGGCTGTTTTCCGCAGCTATTACTATTTGAGGTTGAGTTATACAATATTGAACGAAACAAGTTTGAGACTTGTCAGAATGCTTTTCCATTCCTAGTGCGAGAGAAATCATCTACTTTACACAGCTAATCACTAGTGCATGAATGGCTTTTTCTGCTTCTGTGAATTAGTTATAATTATTCGGTTAAATGTTACATGTAAATTCATTCCGGGGCAATTTTGGCCGATAAACATATGAAGTGATACTTCCGGAGGTATATTCTGTTTTATGCGCGTGCAATAAAATACAACAGTGTCTACATGTAATAAAACAAATTAGGTTATATTCCCACTGAGTCGTTATATACGGCTCGACTGTTATCGGCATGTCTAACACAATGGTAGTTCTCACCTGACGTGTTTACTCTTTCAAAACGCCATCACTTTACACCGCTTCCTACCGCTTTAATATTCCTAACGATATTTCTTTATGAAATAACTTATTTCCCAAAATTCATCCATCCAGAAGATTATTCTCGTTGTACTTAATTTGCTCATTTTGATTTTATTTTCAGGTGCTTCTGTGTACCCTGATTTCGTCAATCCGGAAGTCCGGAACTATTATTCTTCTAAGTTCTACCTTGAAAATTATCCCGGTTCTACTGAAGATTTGTTTATCTGGAATGATATGAATGAACCATCGGTGTTTAATGGACCAGAAGTGACCATGCCCAAAGATTGCTTGCATTTTGGTGGGTTGGAACACCGCGAAATTCACAACATATTCAGTTTGTATCATGTAAGTTGGAATCCACAGTATTGGTGCAAGTCGCTTGTTTCATAAGTTTGGCATAATACCTGTTACTTAACATGTTAAGAACGGAATAATGAAATGTATTTTACCCAAAAATAAATATTTATTCAGTAAGATGCTTTCGAAGTCATAGAACGATGTTCCTTTATCAATTGACAACAATATTAATAATGACAATGCAGTAGACACTGTGCACGGTTGATACTCTTGTTGACTGCTTTCTCTACGAAACTCTTTTGTCATATCAGTAAAGAATTTGACCTCATTTTGAGCCGTGTAGATTTCACTCTAAAACTGATTAAAAGTGATGAGAACTTTGATTACTAATTGACATCCTTCACCTTACAACCTGTTATTTCTTTCAAAATGATGAATTTTTGTGTACAGTATTTTTGTCAAAGATTACTAAAACTTACCAAATTTTAAAAGGTACCAAAAATATTCAGAGAAATGAACCTTCACTAGTTAAAAGTTTCTCAGCAATATGCATGTAGATATTTGACATGGGGAGTTGGTTTATGATTTATTAATAATGCACACAGTATGAAACTTTTATTGGTATCTAAACAGGGTTTCAACTGATGTTATCAACCATTATTAGCTGCAGACAGTACTGTGCGACACTCATTTGAGGTTGTGAAGACATAACTAGCCTTGCTTTTTTATTGTCAGAAGTTTAGATGTTTCGAATATGATGTTGGCAAGGATATTGTATGGCTGTATCTCTGGATATTATTTGCATTTGGTAAGCGGAACTGAACAAGATGCTCTAGGCCGTGATTGCTGATATTTTCTTTAACTTAGAGGACAGTTTTTGCGTCCTGTGTATATGAATTTTTTTGGCGTTCAAAAATTCCTTTCATACCTTCGCGTAAAATGCCAGCCGAATTGATGTCAGACCCATTTTTTGTTGTAGGTACAAATTTTTGCCATCATCAGATCACCAGCAGATAGACAGTTTTCTGCTTCTTTAATAACCATAGGGAGGATACACGCGTGATATTCATTAGTCAACTAAATAAATCAGTCACATTTTTAATTATTTCTCGAGGTAACTACGAGCAAGGAAGCAGTACAGCACGCTGTGAAGTTCTGTCTCTGAGGAGTTATGCGTTATTTTTTTGGCAGCATGATTAACAAACATCTAGGAACAACGTTATGTTCTGTGTTTATCGCAGGGAGAAGTACAGCCACGTTAAATTTATACGCCCTTAACTCGTTGTCCCGTGCAACTATTTGCTAAAATATTATTGCTAAAATGCGAAGACACCTGTTATAGTTTAAGTTTTTAAGTTTACGTGACCAAGAATTCTTTGGCATTTATGACATCTTTTATTATGCTAGTTACAATAACACTATTCATTTATTTGTTGCGTCCTGAATGCAACTTTTGGCTATTTTCTCCTAATCATCGCGTTATTTCCACCTCTTTGTCAATAGACTTTTGTATTTTTATTTGTTGTGGGACGCAAACTGTATTGTTAGAATTAGATTGCAATATCTTTTTCTGAGAGCATGAGATTAGGTATTGCTGCATGTGGCTCTATTTAGTGTGTTAGCTTTAAGATAAATTCAGTGATTTTCCGTAGATGTGAGGGATGGAAAGTTTTTACACTTTGTGCGATAAATTTCCTATTTTATTTCCTACCTTTTTGGGCTTTTAATTTTGTTTTGTGGTTCATATTCAGGGATTTCTGTACCCATTTTTTTTACTACTTTCACGAAGCAGTTCAGTGTCTTTAAGCGTTGGTACCATAAACGGTGCTCAGTGACTCTACAGTGAAAGTTTGCGAGGGTACCTTCTCTTGATGACTGAGACAAGATGGGATCTCAACAAGGATTGTTCAAGCAGTCGCTGTAACGCGAGAGCCAAACCGGCAAAACTTCATGAAGTAGTTGTTCGCTATAAAAGTTGTTGACCTGATGATTCCGATATATTACTTTGTTGTATGTTTTCCTCCGTTTATGTAAACCGCCAAAACACTTAGATGATCGATGGATCTTCTTTGTTGTTTTCACGTTTAGTTACAGACGAGGTTAGATTCAGTTTTCATACCTTAGAATTATTGCAAATTTTATTTTATGAAAAATTACACTCGTTGCTGACTCATTATAATATTTTAGCACTTTTTCTAACATTGATCTTCGCATATTTTTAATTCAGTTTTTTTATTATGTTGGAGTTTGTTTAGTTGATATTTCGTTCTTTAGCATATGTCAACGTTCAAAGGATTGTACGACAGAAGTAAAGGCAAATTGAGGCCGTTTGTCCTCACTCGGGCGTTTTTTGTTGGCAGTCAGCGATATAGTTAAGAATCAGAGCTTAGCTGATGGAACTTATTAACATAGGCATATTTTAGCATCAGTTTGGACCGGTGACAACACAGCTGACTGGAAACACATACAGGTTTCGATTCCTATGACGCTGACGCTTAGTCTGTCCGGTATTCCGTTCGTCGGCGCCGACGTTGGTGGCTTTTTTCTGAATCCCGATGAGGAAATGCTAGTTCGTTGGTACCAGGTAAGGACACATGGTCCATCTTCGCTGGTTGTGCGTCTTCATAAAGATTTGGTTTCTTGATTTGTAGATCGGCGCTTTCTATCCGTTTTTCCGTGCCCACGCTCATCTGCACACTACCAGGCGGGAACCGTGGCTTTTCTCAGACCGAACCACGGCAGCTATTCGAAACGCTATCCGATTGCGCTACTCATTGCTCCCCTACTGGTAATCTCTGGCACAGCATATCGACTTGATTTTTTGCCTGAGACGCTCAAATGTTTCAGGCGTTGTTGTTGCTTTTATATTTTTATTTCACATGTTAATTTTCCTGTGATAGTTTGTGGTCTTTTTAGGTACACTTTGTTTTACGAGCATTCGCTGAGTGGAAAGCCCGTGATTCGGCCTTTATGGGTTGAGTTTCCTCAAGATGTTTACACGTTTGACGAAGAACGACAATATATGATCGGTAATTTGCCTAAGGAAATGCATCGCTAATGTCTAGCATGGCAGTATCTTTTTTAGGTGAGAGACTTATGGTCAGGCCCATTACTGAACCTGGTGTGACGTCAGCAAGTGTGTATCTCCCCGGCAAAAGATTGGTAACTTTTGTATTCCATGAATTTGAACTTGAATTCACAATTTGGTTCGCT